CTCTCTCTCTCTCTCTCTCTCTCTCTCTCTCTCTCTCTCTCTCTCTCTCTCTCTCTCTCTCTCTCTCTCTCTCTCTCTCCCTCCCTCGTTGCATAAATGGCATAAATGTAAAGGTCACGTTTCGAGAAACCAGATATTGGATGTGTGTGTATGTTTGGGAAAATATGACCTTTCTCTCTATTTGTTTATATACATGTGTGTGCATGTAGATGCATATGAACTACAAGTCTATAATTGATGAGCCCACTGAAAATTTCATCCTTTTCTGGTCTACAAGTTTGATCACTTATAAAGATTATCTTGTTCCTTTCTAACTACATTAAGAATTTTATCTCCCTCTAGGATTGAACTTGAATGTTAAAACTCTTAATTTGAATCATACTTGTGTCATTTTTTCATTGAGTTGTGTTGTTTCAGATTTTGGCAAGGCAACAAGCGCAAAGGGAAGAGGAGCTTTCTCAAACACAGAGGCATATTCTCGTGCTTCAGGTATGTGCTATAGATTTTTTTTTAATTGTGCATTGTTCCAACTATAAAAGCAACCCATAAACATCAAGCCTGTTTGAATTTATTTTATCATTTGATAAGATAGGCGTTGTAGAGTAGGGATGTTGAGAAACAAATAAAAATAAATTACTGGGTTGAAGTCTTTTGGCCATAGTAAAAGGGAGAAACGGAGAAAAAGAGGAAGAGGAGGAGAAGAGAACTCATTTACTCTAGCATGGAGGCAAATTCACATGAAAATAATAACAATTTCTAGTGTTAAATTCTATTGGAATATGATTTCAGAAGTACTAAAGACTTTAATGACTCATTGTGCAATAATAAGGAGGACGATAGACAAGAATTCTGGAAAGGATATACCAATCATTAACCTAATATCTTGGAAACTATCGCAATGGCCCTTTTTAAGATTGAATTTCACCTTATTTTTTATCCTTGCAAATGTGTGCCAAGTTAGATTTAAGATGGGTTAACTATAATAAGATGGGTTAAAACTCACAAATTATAATACTATTGTAAAGCAGAAAATAACAACGATATTAACTTCTAGCCTTCTTTGAGGTGAAAACATTCCTCAGGGCTACTTTTTCATTTTTTATTTTTTTAATTTATTCTTTTTCATAAGCCTTTTTGTCTGGCATCTGACATGATGTATTACAACTGCTGGTTTGCTTTCTGATGATCGTTAGCTTTAATGCAGGAGGAAATTGAGGAACTGGAGCATGAAAATCGCCTCCATAGGCAACAGGTACTTTATAGTGCTAGTTTCCGTACCATGTCATTTAAAAGTGGGAAAACACACGGAATCCAATATATTGGATAACAGAATTTTATGAAGCTGCAAGAATATGTTTTATGTCCATACAAGTAAATATTGGATAATAGAATTTTATGAAGCTGCAAGAACATGTTTTATCTCCGTACAAGTTGTCATTCTAATCGACTCCAAACAGTGGCAATCAATGAAATCCTCTCTCTCACAGTCTCACTCTCACACACATATCCAAGACGCCAACCACTATTTGGATGAGGCAAATTGGCCTCCAGATAAATATTGTTCTATATATCCATTGAGATTGTGTTATTACATTTATGTAGTCGTTTGATGATAACATGTGCAGGAAGCTATGTTGAAGGAAGAACTCCGAAACATGGAAAGAATGGAGAAGAGGGAAGGAGTGGATCTGACATATCTTAAAAACGTTATCTTAAAGCTTCTTGAAACAGGTACATTCGCATTCATTGTCTCTTCCTCGCCTCCTGCACCTCGTCATTCATGATCAACCCCAATCCCCCGATTTTATAACATTATTGATTTCATTTTCTAATCAAGTAATATTTATTTTTTATTTCCATTCATCAAATTGACATTTGATGAACTAGCTGATGTTGGAGATTGAGGGATTTATGTTAGCTGATTTTGTGCTTTAAAAATTTGTTTTGTTATCAATTTTTTTG